CTCTTGAGTTGGGCTTCATGGTGGGCTGAATCCCTGCTTCGAGGAGGATCCTCCAGGAAGGGATGTGGGTCTGCTTAGACTCCTTATCATCAGTCAGTTCTTGCTCTGTATCTCTCTCCTTGCTTTATCACCCTGGTCTTACGGCCCATTTTCTCTCTCCCTCTGGGTTTTGACTTTTCCATCTGATAGCAGAATGTCCAAAGAAGACTGTGGTTTCCCCTTGAGAGTCCAGCCAGCCCTGGGGGAGAAGGGGGGCAGATGGAGTTCAGGAGAGCTCAGACAGCGAACACATTTTCCAAATGTCACCAGACCCTGAGGTGGCTGGACTGTCAGCTGGCTGGGAGGGAGCCATCTGGCCATTGGAGGGGTGGTGGGAGTTGGCAGTAGGGGGTGGGGGAGATGCCTGGAGCAGCTTGGAGCTGGGATGGCCGATGCCAGCAAAAACCCAAGGAAGCACTCTGGTTCACTAGTCTGCTCTTGCCTCCCCTTCTCCCCTGGGTGAAATTGCCATGAACATAGCCACGGGCTTCTCCTCCTGCCTTGGATTGGCTGGGTGACCTTGGGAGAATGTCACTTGGCCTCTAAGCTGGACCTCCCAGGGCTAAATTGTTCCTGCTCCAACTAGATGGATGAAAGCTCCGTGAGCCAGAGGAGGTGGGGGAGGGTGCTTCTTAGTGGAGGTCACCCAAGAGTAAGTGTTGAGCTATGTGCCAGGCACCATTCTAAGTCTGCGAGAGTACACACACCAAAAAGGAGGGGGAAAAAAGGACAGTTGCTGCCCTCAGGGAGTTTATATTCTAGAGATCATAGATTTAAAGCTAGAATTGACCTTTAGAGGATATTGGGTCTCTGCTTCATTTTAAAGATAAGGGAACTGAGCCAGAAAGGTTAGTGACTTACCCAGGCTCACACAGCTGGCAAGTGTCTGAGGGAGGATTTGAACACAGATCTTCCTCACCCCAAGTCTAGCCCTCTATCTAGTTGGCCACCTAGGGGATAGGGAGGGATAAGTATGTTCACAGATAAATAGAACATAGGGCAGGAAGTAAAGGGAGTAAAGGCTCTATAGGAATATTTGAGAAGGGATAAAACCTTTTCAGCTGAGGGGATCAGAAAGGGTTCTCCAAAGAAGCTGCTGCTGAGCCTTAATGGAGGAAAAGAAATCAGAGAGATGGGGGTGAGAAAGAGGTACGTTCCTTCCCAGCCTTTAAAGCCCAACGCAAATATCACCTTCTCCAGGAAGCTTTCTGGTCAACAAATGACTCTCCTTTCTCAACAAACACACACACACACATGCACACACACACGTTTGTAGGTTATTTGTAGCTTTCTTCTGTACCTAGACCATTTTGCATAATAATTAATTACTTATGTATATTCTGTGAGAGTCAGTGCATCATAGTGGGAGGAGTGCTGGCTAGGAAGGCTTGGGTCCAAGGAGGGCTACTGGTACATACTGGCCCTGTGATCTGGACCAAATAATTTAACTGTTTGGTGCTCTATAAAGCCTTCTCCAGAGAAGGAGCCAATCCTCACTGATAGAGTTCCTGTATCAGTGAAATAACTAATAATAATAATAGGTTATATAAAGCACTTTAAGGTTGTCAGAGCACTTTGCATACATTATCTTACTTGATCCTCACAACAGCTTTGGGAGATGGGTGCTATTATCACCTCCATTTTACAGATGAGGGAACTGAGGCACAGAGAGATCCACACAGGGTCATACAACCACTAAGTGACAAGATGGCAAACTGAAATCTTTCTGACTCTGAGGACCCCATCCTATCCACTGCGCTGCCTAGCTGTCTACTAGGGCCAGTCCCTCTTCCTAAGTTACATATGTCTACTAGATTGTAAGTTTCATGAAAGTAGGGGTTGTGTCTCATTCAAATGAATACTTTTGACTGATTGCTCACAAAAGGCCCCCTTTTCTGTGACTGGTATGTCAGGATAGACCTAGGGATGAGAGATGGGGTAAAGGGAGAAACAGAGACAATTGGAGAGACCGACAAAGAGGCAGAGAATTGGAGGTGAAGGAAGAACCGAATGGAAGGAAGAGCAGTTCTGGGGAGATAAAAGGAAAAGAAGGAAAGAAAACAGGAAGTCAGTGGCTAGGCCAAGGGACTCTAATCCCTAAAACCCTTCTGACTACTTTCCTTGGTCCTCCGTGCATTCCTTCTTTTCATCTTGCCATCAAGGTGGAACCCTTTCTCTGTTAGAGATCTCTCCATTGCCTCTTCTTCTTTCTCCTTTTTTTTTTTGGCTAGTCAATGGGGTTAAGTGACTTGACCAGGGTCACACAGTTAATAAGTGTTATTTGTCTGAGGCCAGATTTGAACTCAGTTCCTCCTGACTCCAGGGCTAGGGCTCTATCTACTGCATCACCTAGCTACCCACCTTTCTCCTTTTTTAATTGCAGGCATTCCCTTGTAGACGGGCTCCTTTCTTCTCAGAAAATCCAGCAGAAAATGCTCAGGGGACTCCTGGTGCCCAGAGGAGACACGGGCATCCTGCCCTAAGAACAGCGCCTTGGCATTGCCCAACTTTTTGGACAAATCTCTTCTCATTTCTGGGTCTCAGTTTCCTTTTTTGTAAAGTGGAGGACATGGAGTAGAATATCTCAAAGATATACTGTCCAGGAGATTTTACAGGACTTGGCTTTTGGGTCAGTTGGCCTCCCAGGCTCCTGGTGAGGCAAACAGAATGGAGGAGGGGCTACATGTCTTTATGCTGCTGGGGATGGGCTTGCTAAAGAGGGTAGGGGGAAAAGGGCAGCCTCAGGATCTGATGAAGTTCCTCATGCCTTCCAAGGACTGCTGGAGCCATCTCCAATCGTCTTGATCTATATCTTGCCATGGGACCCAGATGGCTCTGGAGGAGAGAATGAGGCTGGGTAACTTTCCACAGCCCTCTCTCACTTAAATCCAATTCATCTGAAAGTCATGACATCTCCTTCCTGATGTCATGGTCCTCTTTGGGAACGAAGGACAAACAACACAAACAACAGAGCCAATCCTGCCCACTGGCTCACCATGCACCTTACTCTTTCCCTTTTTAAAGGGAATAACATATGCAAAATGACCTTAAAGCACTATATACATGCTGGTTGTTATTATTACTCTCCCACAGTCCCCCATTCTTCTTTCTTTTCTTATTAATTTATTTATTTTTAGTTTTCAACATTCACTTCCACAAGATTTTGAGTTCCAAATTTCCTCCCCATCTTGTCCCTCCCCCAACCCCCAAGATGGCATGCATTCTGAATATCCCTTTCCCTAGTCTACCCTCCCTTCTATCTCCCCACCTTCTCTTATCCTCTTCCCCTTCTATTTTCCTGTAGGGCAGCCAACCATTCTTCATGCCGCTAAAAAACCTGCTTTCTCTTACCAGGGCTGCCTCTTATTCCAAACTCAATTACTGAAATGCTTCCTCCTCCAGGAAGCCCGCTGTGATTAGTTGAATGGGGATGGGGTGTGTGTGTGTGTGTGTGTGTGTGTGTGTGTGTGTGTAATATACCAAAGCATCACCACAATTCTCCCTCAAATCTCTGCCCCACCCACATACATACATGCATACACAGATACTCCAATTTTAATTTCTAATTAAAAGTAAAACAGTAAACCACTGAAGTGAAAGACACAAATCTGTCATGTTTCATTACGTGGGAAGCCATTCAAAGGCAGGGTTCCGATGACCGAACTCCCACCTCAGGGAGCAGCTGCAGACGTCAGAGCCGCTGGCGCCCAAGGCAGAATTGAGCTCAGTTCAACTCAGCTCAGCTCAGCTCAGCATCCTGGGCTCCTCTACTAAACCTTTCACCCTGGTCTAGTATTAGGTAGATGGGGGAGGAGGTCACTTGGCCCCTCTGTGCAAGAGGGGTAAATACAGGTTTTTGGGTCCTCTGGGGCAAGGACTACAGTGATGATGACGACCACAGGACAAGAATGACAATAACTGTAGTTCACATTTCTATAGTGCTTCAGAAATATTATTTCATTTGAACAGGGTGGTATCTGTTTCCCACAAATGACATTTCATCTTCCACCTTCATGTCTTTGCCCAGGCTGTCCTCTATTCCTGGGCTGTACTTCCTTCTTACTTCCACCTGGTAGCTTCCTTCAAATCACAGTTTGGTATCATCTCCTTCAGGAGTTCCTTCCTGATTACTAAAACCCCTCCCCCTTCCCTATCCCCAGTTATTAGCACTCTTGAAATTATTCCATATAACTTCGTATTTATTTATATTAATTAGATCGCATACCTGCTGTTATCTCTCTAGTAAAATGTGTAATGGGGTAGGTTGACCCACAGGGGCTGTTCCATCCTTTACAATTATAAGTTTCTTGAGGACAGTGACTGTTTTGTGTTTGTCCTTGAAGCTCCAGTGTCTACCACGGGGCCTTGAACATAGTAGGCATTTTACAAATGTTTGGTGAATTGACTCAACTCCTTCCTTACATCAGCCCTCTGAGGGATAGGTAGAACAGATTATACCTGTTCCAGATTTTAGATTATACCCATTTCACAGGTGGGAACACAGAAGCTCAGAGACTTGTCTGGGGTCCTGGAGCTGGTACATTTCAAAGCCAGGTCTTGAACCCAGGTCTTCACTTTCCACCACATCCTTTTTATTGCCTTTCTAATCACTGAAAACTTTGCCAAAGCACGGCTATGGGCTGGCTAAATTAGGGGTAAAGATAACATACCATCCTTTATGGATTAAGAATGAGCCCATAACACTTCTGATTCCCCTTAGCAACCTATCATAGGTATGTTCTCCAAGGATTTGTCAAAATCAGAAGTGAGGAACCTCTGGTGGGAGGGTCACATTTCAAAGAGGTGATTTCCTTACCTGTAATTGTGAAAAAACAACAACTTTTGCTTGTTTTTATTTAAATATTACTTTAAAGACTCCATCACTTTCCATGTGTGTCTGGGAAAACTCTTGTTTTGAGGGCAGAACTTTGGGGCTGATTCTACTGGGAAAGAAGCATGATTGGACAAGGTGGGTGGCATAGGACATCTGTTAGAATACAAGAAAAGAGTCACATGGTCCTGGTTGAAATTTTATTCTTCACTAAACTAAGACAGCTGAGTTTTGAGTTATAAAATCAAGAAGTCTTTCTACTGGAGAAAGGGAAGACATTAGGATTCGGGACTTCAGAGAGAACAGAGCCCAGCTCATCTCAATTCAAGACACCCAAACTGACCTTGCTCTTATACCCAAGACACCATAGAAAACTTGGCTTTTAGACTCTGACTAGAGGCTAGAAAAACCCAGATTTTGTAGGGCCATCTGGGCTGAGGTCTGGTCTCAAAGTTGGGTTGGAGAGGGGAATCTTTTCTTCCCTTCCTCCAGAACCTCATTTGCCTTACTTGAAAAATGGGAAAGAGGGGGAACACTCCTTATCATCACCCAGTGGATTTGGGAAGGCAAGGTGAATTAAGTCCTAGTGTGAATGTGATTTGAGAGCTCCAGAAAGAAGGACCAATCCTGGTAAGAATAGAGAACATTTGGCAATGTGCAGGTATGCATGTGACTGAGAGAGGGCTGAGGACAGGAAGTGAACTTGCATGGTCACACAGACACTGTCCTAACGCACTTTCATGGGGCTTTTATTGGCTAACCATCCCTCCTATCCCCCAGTAACATCCAGTGAAGGAAGCAGAGAGCCCAGGCAAAGGAGGAAAGGTGTGGCAGCACAGGATTTCCAAAGGGCTCAGACGGTGAAGCCATCCAAATGTGAGGTCCCTGGCGAACCGGGCTTCCTAATAGAGGGAGGAATTTCTGAGACTGATTCCTTCAAGGTGTTGACTCATTCAGTTGCTTCCTATAGAATTGGGAGTAAGGAGGAAGGCACAGCAACTGCATGTGTCCTGAATGCTTGGGGGTTTGTTCAGAGAAGGGAGGCAGTCAGATCAAGCTTTCTGGAGGAAGTGGGACCTGAACTGGACCTTGAAGGAGGGGTAGAATCCCCCCTACTTTCAAGGCACAAAGTAAAGGAGGATGGAATGCTCCGAGATGTGCAGCAATAACAGGGAAAGAACCCACGGGTCCTGTATCCCAGTTCAGATCCCCCTCCCTCTCCCCCACCATTATTTCTGGCTCCATGCCCCAAGGTAGGAGTTGGCATGTCGATGTTTGTACCACTGATGTGTACAATGGTCTCTGAGTACTGAGGTCTGTGTGTCAACATGGAAATCTATGTGTATGAGTGGGTGTGTGTGTTTGGTTTTGTGATCGTGCTTGTGTATTTAGGTGTGTGTGTCTATATAGGTCATTGGAGCTCTAGGTTTGCTGGGTGAGTGTGTGTGTGTGTGTGTGTGTGTGTGTGTGTGTTTGAAGGATGGGTTGGGTGAACCCAGGTATAGAAATACTAACTTCCTGTTCTCACTCATCTTTAAATGTCAGCCCCACACTTGGCTGGGGAAGAGGGGCTTTGCTACCAGAGTAGCCCCATTATACCCAGCCCCTAGATAAGGGACCAGAGCTAAGGATGTCAGGGGTGGGGGTGGGTGGGGACCAGAAGGCAGGCTCTTAGCTAGGATGGAGGAGGACCCTGAAGAAATAAGGACTCAGAGACAGAATGTGGGTCACCAGGAAGGGAGCCCTCCCTGGGCCCCAAGGGGAGTGACACTGCTGTACAGCTACCCTCCCTGCCAGCTGTGTCTCCCAACATCCAGCCATCCTTGCCCTACCCACCCTATCCCTGCATGTCACACTGAGGCAGGACTGGGGCAGACTGACAGCCTTGGGGGGCTGAGAAGGGGGATGGGGGTCACATGATATGGCACTTTTCAGCTGACTGCTTTAATTCTCCCAGAGTAGCCTGTGCCTTGTCCTTGATGGAACTGAGGTCCAGGTTGGGGATGCTGGCCAGCTGCCCAATGACCGAAGCCTTCTCTTCCTCCTCCTCATTGTCCTCTTCAATCATCTTGGCCAGCTCTTTGGGCAGCTCCACATCACCCCCGGCCATCTGGATCTGGTTGTCATCTGTCTCGTTCTGTTGGGAAAAGACAAGTGAGAAAGGAGAAGGGGTTGATGATGGCAGCAGGAACTCAAGAGGACAGACAATAGAACTCTATGTCTGGGTCTGGGGATATTCTCCTGAACTTGCTCTGGATCTGAACATAATACCCTTCCTCACGTTGCTCTTGAAAGATGGATAAGAATTTTACCCTTCATTCGAAGTTCTACTCAAGTCCCACTCTCTAAGGCTTTGCCAGCCCACATTCCAGCCCACAGTGACCTCTCTAACCCCTGATTGCCTAAAAATAATTGCTAGCATTTATATTAGAGCTTTAAGGTTTGTGGAGCATTTTACAACTATCCCATATAATTCTCACAACAATCCTGGGAGGTAGGTGCTTTGATTATTTCCCATTTTATAGATCAGGACATTGAGCAATACAAGAAGTTGCCAGGGTCACACAGCTAGTAAGTGTCTGAGGTAGAATTTAAATGCAGGTCTTCCTGACTCCAGGGCCAGCAATCGATCCATCTACTTCACCACCTAACTGCCTTTCAACAGCTGCCTGTAGTATAATAAGGTGTACCATGCATTTGGCCCTGATTCTGCCTTGTCAAATCATACCGCTATCTTAATGACCTTTTCCCCAACTTTGAATCTTATTTCCCAAATTAGACAGTAATTCCTTAAGGGCAGGGACTATGTTGGCCAATCCTATCTCCTCTACAGGGTCACTGCAGAGCCGGGCACATAGCAGCTCCTAAGTCAATATTTTGTTAATTGATCCTGCTTCAGTTTTCCTTTCCAGGCAATGGGTATGTCATGATGACATGCTTACTTACTACCTAATGCTCCAATTCTTGCTCCTAATACTAGGGCTGGGACAGATAAGATGCAGATTCATTGAAAACTATATACTAAGCCCTCAATGGATTCCTAATATGTCGACATGACCTTTGGAACACATTGTGAGGCTTGAATGTGATCTCAAAGCACTTTATTTCTTTTTTCATGCTGACAATGGAAGACCATAAGGACCAGGAGAGCCCAATACAAGAAGCAGCAACGGGGTGGGTCCCTGGGAAGGGTGCAGTGAAAAGAGGACTAGACTTGGGGTCAAGATACTCGCATTTGAGTCTCTGCCTTGCTATTTAAAGCCATGTGACCCTGGACAAATCATTTCCCTGGCTGAGCCTTTGTTTCCTCATTTGGTGGGGGAGGCAGCTAGGTGGCCATGGAGTCAGGAGGACCTGAGTTCAACTCCGCCTCAGATACTTGACACTTACTAACTGTGTGACCTGGGGCAAGTCACTTAACCCCATTGCTTAGCCAAAAAAAAAAATAATAAGATGAGATTAGATTGGATGATACCTAAGGTCCTTTCCACACTAATATTCTATAAGATTCTGGGAAGGGCAGGTAACATGTTTCCCAATGGGTCCCTTCCCAGGAGGAAGAGAGCAGAAGGGCACTGAGCTCCCAGATAACTGGCCCTGGGGCCTGGCTGGTTTTTTTGGGAGATGGGACAGGGTGGGTAATTGAATGGGCTAAGAAGAACAATCTCTGTCCATCAGAGGTTTTATTCTTTCTGAAATCCTTCATTCATTCAGCAAAATGTCAATGACCTCTTGTGTGCCCAGCCCTGTACTAAGCTAAGAAGACAGAAAAGGGAAGACGAGTCCTTCATAGCCCTAAGAGAACTCAATGTTCTCAACTTGATCTCACCAAATTTGCTGTGGGGAACCAGAAAATGATTCTGAGGGGGCTGCCTTCCAGGAAGTGCTCTAGCCCTCCTGGACCACTGCCCCACAACCTATTTAGGGAGGGAGGTTCAGCATCAAGGGGAAAGGGCAAGGACGATAGTGGGAGCTGGGAGGTGGACAGCTCACCTTGGGCAGTCGGTACTTGTCTCTGAAGTGGCTTCGAAGGGTAGCCCTTTCTGCCTTCCTTTGTGTGAACTGTGCATCTCGTTCCATCCTGTAGATCAGAGGACAGGAGTCAGACTGGGTGGGGCTAAGAGGTCCGCCTGGTGTGAAGGGTGGAGGAATTGGGCAGTCTCAGAGGGGAAGGAACCCAGGGTTACTATGAAGGGCCATAAACCTTCTCTCCTCTACTACAGGGGTTCTTAACCTGCGGTTTGTGAACATTTAAAAAATTTTGATAACTATATTTCAATATTATTGGTTACCAGCAGTTAAATGACAATTTATAGATGGCAGAACAATTATAATTCTTTAGTCTAGTTTCATCCATGAGGCCTGGGCTGGATTGAAGGCCATTTTATATTTTTCTCTTTTTTTGTGTGATTTGATGTGACCCAACTATTGACAATGGACTTCTCCATAGTTCACAAGGGCAGATAGGTGGCACCACAGTGCATAGAGTACCAGGCCCGGAGTAAGGAAGATTTATTTTTGGGAGTTCAAATCTGACCTCAGACACTAGTTGTGTGACCCCAGGCAAATCACTTAACCTAAGATCTGTGAATTTAAAAACATATATTTCCATGACTGTATCTTGAGGTAATTTGTTTCCTTTGTACTCCTGTGTATTTTGTTGTATGTATTTAAAAACATTATAAAAAGAGATTCATAGGCTTCATCAGATTGCAAAGGGGGTCCATGACATGATGAAGGTGAAGAAGGCTTACCCTAATGCAAGGTATTGCTCCAAAAAGCAGCAAGTTGACATGCTGTTGGAAAAACTGAAACACACCCATGTTGACATGAAGAAGCTGTAGTTTAAATGGAAGGATTGCTCAGAGGTTCTCCTCAGAGTGGCAAATGAAAGGGTTGTTGAGGTTGGTTGCATTGTACACCAAAAGGCAGGAAGAAACCCCACTTGGGTTATCTATCTGCAGTGCACATGACGAATATGACAAGACAGAAATACTACCATGGAGATGGTCACAGTTCATGCACCAAGATTTGTTTCATGATGATGAAAAAGGAGAGAAATTCATGAGATTCTCCAAACTAAACATATAAGTTGATACTTCATGACTTCAATGGGGAAAAGGGGGAAAGGCAAGAATGACAAAAATGTGTTGGAAAATGTTTGGAGATAAAGAAATGGAAGGGGTCAAAGGCCTATCAGAATAGGTTATTCGGAAGTCTTACATCTGGATCATTGTTTCTTCAAGAAGCTTCTCAGAAGGTTCTGGGTATAACGACACCAAAGAATACCACAAAAACGAAACAGAACTCCATCTTGATGGATTCAAAAAGCACTGGTTTCTGATGTGAGTGCGATTTCAGAACCAACTCTCCTGTGTGTTAAGTCAGCTGAACCAGAAAAGGTCAAAATCAACACCAAATTAGAAGAAAAGCTAAAAATAAGATGCTATGTGTAATTATAATAGCTGCAACTAGACCTAGTTAAACAGCTGTTGACTGAAAACTGGGAAATAAATACAGAACACAGGCATTGGCTGATTATCATCAGAAGTTTAACCAGTGAACTTCAGTAATGTGCAAGGACAAAAGAAACTAGAAACTGAACCAACCAGAAAATATTTGTCCTCCTTCAAGTAGAGAAACATAATAACCATGGGCAACATAAGTCTGGAATACAAGCTTATTTGTAAAACATCACAAAAAAGAAGAGTTAAGAGTGGAGAATCCCTCTTCACAAACCAGCAAAAAATAGTAGAGAAGACAAATTTGCAGAAAACTCAGTGTGAGATTTGACTATGCTAGATCATCGTGAGGGTATTTATAGATGAAGCTAGACAACAAATAGGTGTAAAGTAGACCAGATTTCCTGCCACTTCTATGGTGACATATTCTCATTACTAATGATAGTGGAACGATCATATCTAAAATCCCCACATTCTGAGTGCTAAGTGAGGAAGCGGAAGTGGCAGTAGATGATGAAGCTGGAGGAGCAGCCAGACCTGAACAAATATATACAAATATGCTGGAGGTGACACAATTTTAAAGATTCTTGGGAAGTTTTTCAAGATGTCTTCAACAAGAGAGGATTCAAAAAGAAGACAGAAAATCACTGATGACAGTATTAGTCCTCTAAAAGGTGACTGTCTCCTTTCTCATTCTTAGAAATTCTTTATGAAAAAGGTCTACACATATCAAGAGTATGTTTGATGAAAATATGGTAAGAGAAGTTTCAGACTTTCACAGAGAATTTGCTAGGGCACACTACATTTTTGCAGTCATTTAATTGACTAAGTGAAGTAAAAAATACTGGAACCCACTGTATTTGTTTTTTGATTACCAAGAAAAGCATTTGACTTTACAAAACAAGATGTGTCTCCCATGTATACATTAAGGTCATTTAAAAGTCTTTCATAGATACAGCTATAGAGATAACTTTTTTTTGGAGATGTTCTTACTATCAATACTAAGTGAAGAATATGTTAGAGAGACAAGTATTTGCCAAAAGTGTTTGCCACTGTCATGGAGGATGTTGTGTGTAGACTGAATGGAAAAGGAATTCCCTATAGATGGTGTGATCTCCAGATGCTCATGTTTATGGATGACATTCTGCTAACTGTGTTGAGCCCCTGAAGACAACCTTTCTAATGAGTTGCACAGTCATTCAAAAGAAATCAATCTAGAAATTCACACAGGAAAAATAAAATGGATGAAGAATGCATATTGTCCAGATAATAAAATGCAACTGGTGAGCCCATTGAGTTAGTCTGTGTGTCTATCACCTATCTATCTATCCATCCATCTTCTATCTATCTATCTATCTATCTATCTATCTATCTATCTGTCTGTCTGTCTGTCTGTCTGTCTGTCTGTCTGTCTATCTATCTATCTTGGAGAGGGACAGTAGATGGAAAAATGAGCTGACTTCAGGATGAATTCTGGAAATTACGTGGTACTTTCAATGATCCCAAGCTGCTTCTTTCCAATAAACCTCACTTTTTAAAAAAATACCAATCAGTGTTCTCCTTGTGATGGCATATGGTTATGGATAGTGGGATATCATGATCCCTGAAGAATCAAAATTGCAGATGAACCAAAGGGCAATGGAAAGATGCATGATGGGTATAAGTATGTTCTAGCATATTGCCAACGATAACTTGCATGCAAGCAACAGAGTAGAAGGGGAAAAAAAACCACTTGTCGTTAGAGTCAGAAGACCTAGGTTCAGATCCTGGCTGTACCACTTTCTGTGTGATCCTAGGCAAGTCACTTTATTTCTCTAGGCCTTTGCTTCCTCCTCTGCAAAATGAGCTGGTTGGATTACATGAACTCCAACGTCCTTTCTGGCTCTCAATCTATAATTCTGTCATTCTGTAAGTGGCCTAAAAGATATCGACAAGGATGCATGTGATCAGAAAAGGACAGTGGCCACTCACGTATAAAAAGTGGGGGATAACAGATGGGCATCTGAGTGATACACCAAGATCCATAAAACATGAAGAGATTTAGAGGAAGGCTCCAGCACAGTGGGGAGAGCCTCTGTGGAGGGTGTTTGGAAGGACACGAATAAGAACAGCACAGGATGAGAAGGCTTGGACAGCTCAGGATCTGCACCAGTGTAGTATGTGCCCACACAGATGACATCATAGATCTATAGAAATGTGAAAGCATCATCACTGGGTAGCACACCACACCTCACATAACAGGCGATTAATAAATCTTTGTTGAATTCCATTGTGATGGCAGACGGATGTAGAAGAAAAATTACAGAATTCCGAGTCAGAGAAGCTGGGTTGTTTTCTGGTAAGTAGTAGCTTCCTCCCTCTTTGACCTTGAGAAAATCACTTCCTGCCTCTAAGCCTCAGTTCCCACATTTTTAAGTGAAAGAATTGGATCAGAGGGGTCCCTTGAGGCCCTTCCAATCCTAAATCCAATCCTGGTCCTACGGGCAGGTGGCCAGGAAGCTGATTTACTACAGAAGGAGACAGGCATGTTTTCTGGGGCAGGGCAGAGTCAGTGGGAAGAACTGGCTTACAGGGCATAATTCTGTTATCTCTAACCTTCTTCCCCTGGATGTCTCTCTCAGCTTCTTTATGGTCATCATTACCCTTTTTAGGGGAAGAGGGAGGTGTGTGTGTGTGTGTGTGTGTGTGTGTGTGTGTGTGTGTGTGTGTGTAGTGGCAAGGGGGATGCTACTTCCCCAGAAGCTTTTGCCTCTCACTCCCTACCTCAATAGAACCCCATACCACCTTTTCCCTATGAATCTACATACAGAGCCCCTATGGAGTCCTTTAGAGCACAGTTGGGTACAAGACTGTGTCTGTATGACTCAGTCTTGTCTCTGTTCTGGTCTTTTTTGTACCTGTTTGTTTTAGCCTTTCCATTTCTGCTGGGTTTTCTCTCTACTTCTACATCTGTGTAGAGCTCTATCAATCTATCTCTTCCAGACTCCCTTATCCCTGATGTTCACCCATCGGGTCCTGAGCCCCCAGTTCCAGAGATCCTGCTGAGACACCCAACCCACTGGGGGTAAGAATCGGATTAAGGGATTATGTGTTTTCATCAGAAATACATTAGGGACCTCCTGATTTCCCCTCCCCTCACATCCTTCTCTGGCTCCAGAGTTTTCCTTGTTGTTTCCTCACTCACTAATGCTCAATAGCCCAGATCCTCCAGCTCTTCCAAGAGGGGCTCAGGTTGGGGACAGGCGGGAATTGGCTCCTGAGTCTTGGGATGATTTATCTTGGAGGAATTCCTTGGTTCTCTCTGTGGAATCTGGTTCTGTCCCAGGGAATGGGGAAGGGGAATAGATTCTTCCAACGGTAGTTGCTGTAGGGAGGGAGCCGGGGGAAGGGGGGAGGCTGCCCCTGAAAGTAGACAAGCCAGGAGTCCCTAAGGAGGGGGAAATGCTATGGACACACAGGAGGGATTAAAACCCAGAAGGAGATTCCCCTACTCACTTCTCCTCTACCAGTTGCTTCTGGTATTCCTCATATTCCTCCCGGGTCATGCCTTGAGCTTCAGCCGCCGATCTGTCCCCTTCACCCTTCTCCTCGCCGCCCCCCAGGCCCCCAGCGAGGTTCTTCAGCTGGCCTCCCACCATGGTTTTCACCATGAACGCCATATCTCTCCCCTAACCAGGAGTGGGTGACGGCAGGGAATCTTTGAGGAGAGAGGACTCCGGAGAAAGGGGAGATCCGTTCAACCCTCCAGCCCTTAGAGCGACTTTCTCCTGTTGTTGCTTATCAGGCTCGAGAGTTTCAGCACTACATCCCCTGTGGACAGCTCCCACCCCGGGCTAGACCTGCGTCCCTAAGCTGGAGTTGGGCACAGGCTGCCACCGAGTTTGGCTAGCTGTGTCTGATTCAGCCCCTCCCTTCGGTCCTCAAACCTAGCTCTCAGCTTTCTCCAGTTCTTTAAAGAGGGATGAGGGGGCGTTCACTGGACTGACGCGACCAGACCACATGTTCTGTTCCCCCGACACTCCCCCCCCCCCCCCCCCGCTTCATCAGGGGAGTTAAATGACAGTGGATTAAGGGCTGCTTGTGGGGTATTGCACGGGCTACAGTTGGTGTCATGGGATACGTTTAGAAGCTTGGGTCAGCTACCTATGCAACCTTGAGCAAATCATTTCACCTTTGTTGCTGCTGTTCTTCTGTCAGCGGCTTTTCAGTTGTGTCCGACTCTTTGTGACCCCGTTTGGGGTTTTCTTGGGGCAAAGATACTGACGTGGCTTGCCATTTCCTTCTCCAGCTGATTTTACAGATGAGGAAACTGAGGCAGAGTTGTGACTTGTCCAGGATCACACATTGTCAGAGGCCAGATTTGAATTCAGAAGGCCCAGCACTTAATCCACTGCACCACCTAGCTGCCCCATTTCCCCTTTAAGGGACTCAAATTTCTTCTCCTGTTGAGTGGGAGCATTAAACTAGATGTTCTTCACATCCTTAATTCCTGATTGGCCACTGGGAAATATCAGAGATATCAGAGGAAGGCAAGTGGAGCTTAGATCTCAGTCCTTTAGGTGAGATTTGCCTAGTCCAAAGTTCAACCCAGAGCCTAGATTCTAACTCAATATAGAGCTTACAGCCCAGCCCAGAAGTCACAATCCAGTGCCTACTCCAGAGTCTAGCCTAAAGCCCAGAATCCAAATCACAGAGCTCACAGACTAGACTGAAGTCCAGCCCAGAGACCCCAGCCTAGAACATGACCCATGACTTCAGCCAGCCTAGAGCCCAAAGGCTGCAAGTCCTTAAAGCTCAATTCAAATGACATTTCCACAATATGTTTTACATGATTGCACATGTATAACCTATATCACATTACTTGCTGTCTTGGGGAGGTGAAAGAGGAGGGAGGAAGGGAGAAAAATTTGGAACTCAAAATGTTATTTAAAAAAAGAATATTGAAAAAAAGAACTCTAGACAGTAAAAAATAAAAAAGACATTTTCTCTATGAAGTTTCCTTGATTCCTTGGGTTGGTTAATAAGCTTCCCATCCTTCTCCTGACATTGATAGCATTTTATCTGCAGCTTTCACTTGCTTGTCATACACTATACTGTATTATAGTTGTGTATGTGCCATATGACTGGAAGCTTCATGAATGAGGACAAAACCCATAAACTTTAAAATCTTCCTCCCTCTGCCTAGAACAGTGCTTTGCATACAGTAATAAAGTTGTGTTGAATCAAATGCCCAGAGTCCAGCCCACAGTCTCCTGCAGAACCTATCTCAGTGCTTCACCCAGCCCAGTCCAGATATCATTTGTTTGGGGATGTGGTTAGTAGGGGAGGACAGAGCTTACAGAGCCCAGCCCAGAGTCTAGGAGAGAGCCAGAGTCCAAATTTCCTACAAAATCTAGAGTTCACAGCCCGGGTTAGAGTCCATAGAGCACAAAACCTAGCTCAACCCAGCCCAGATTTTATTAACTCTGATCCTCTTTTCTCCCTTGCCCCTTAGAAAAGAGTGGTGATAGGCAGGAACCTTACAGGGCAGCAAAGGGAGTACAAGGAAGGGTCGGTAACTGAAAGGGTCCAAAAAATCCAATTTATGTCCCTTCCAGTCACCAGCATGGCTCCCCCCAGTCCACTTCTCCACCAGCTGCTCCACAAAGGGTTATTATTGTTGAGGACTCAGCTTCCCCACTATTATTGCAATGCTGCCCCTCCAACCCTCTAGAACCCTATCAACATCTGGCTATACAGATGATGGCATAGCAGGAAATAGGGATTGAACCATAAGGGATTATAGAGAAATAGAGAAAAGGACTTCCTGCCAGGTTCCAAACACTAGAAGCAGTCACAGAGAAAGGTGGTTGCTTTTTTCATGTGATTATAGGTTTATAAAAGACCTTAAGCATCCAACTCCCCACCTCACCCCCTCATTTTACAGATGAGGAAATTAAGAACTCAGAGAAGTTAAACGACTTACCCAAAGTCAGCAAGTAAATAGCAGAGTCAAATTTAAAGCCTGGTCCTCTGATGTCAAATCTTGTACTATTATTACTCTATTATGCTGTATTTTGTTCAAAAGCTTTTATATCAAAAGTTCTCACCTTCTACTGGATGTTTGTTTGGGTTGTTGTTCAGTTGTTTCAGTCATATCTGACTCTTCATGACCCCAAGTGGGGTTTTCTTGGCAAAGATATTGGAATGGTTTGCCATTTCCTTCTCCAGCTCATTTTACACATGAGGAAACTGAGGCAAACAGGGTGAAGTGACTTACCCAGGGTCACACAGCTAGTAAGTGTCTGAGACTAGATTGAACTCAGGTCTTCCTGACTCCAGGCCTGACACTCTATCCACCGTACCACCTAGCTGCTTTGGTATGTCTGGGACATAATTGTATAAGGAGACAGGGACTTCAACTTCATTAACTATGAAGATTCATCCCCAATCCAGGCAAAGGGTTCACATGGAAATGTGCCTCCAATGACTATTCGAAGAATTTAAATAAAGTTAGCCAGGCAAGATATCCAAAACTCTTGCCAAATACAATGATCAATATTGATACCACACAAGGACACAAGCCTCTCTTCAATTAACAATTGATCAACTGTTTTCAAGAAATTATGCATTGTAGGAAGGGTTGTTCAGGTGTTTCTTGGGAAATATCAGTTGTGTCAAAAAAAAAGTATCAATACACACACACACACACACACACACAAAACCAAAGAGGCAAGTCTTTTAGATAACAGTAGTGCACTGATAATAGAAGGTGAACTGATAAGAAGACAACACATTCCCAAGAGAAACGTCCCAGGAGTCAGGACACGCTGGCTCTAGCCTAGGCCACGTTTAGTCTGTGCATCAGGTAGATAACCTTGACTGTGGACAAGTCACTTCTCCCTCTGGATCTCCAATATTCCCGATAAAATGAATGTAATGATCCCTCCCCTTTCTGTGTCACAAGGGTACTGTGGAGGTCAGTTGAGATGGAAAAGGTTAGTAAGGCACCAGGACAGTGGGAAAGGTTGTGACCTTGCACATGACCTTGTGCATATTGCTTCCCTTATCTGAAGTGCTGAATTATAGTGGGAAGAGTGTTGAATCCGGATTTGGAGAGAACCTTGGTTTGGATCCCAGCTCTGCCACTATTTGTGTGACCACAGGCAAGTCATTTAGCCCCTGGATCACAGTAACCTAACCCATGAAATGAGGTTGGATTAGATGACCCCAAGGTCTTTTCCAGCTCCAAATCTACGATTTTACGGGATAAGATCATATTAATATATTTGTTGGACTTCAGTTTCCTCATCTGCAAAATGGCATACAAATCTCTACCCTGGATACCAGTCAGGGTTTCTTCAATGATCAAATAAGATGTGAAAGTGTTTTGTAAATTTTAAGCCACAATGCACAGACCAGCTACTCTAGTTATTTATTATTATTAAATGGTTGGGGTGGAGAAGACTCAATGACTGCAGCTCTTTTCTATGCCCCTTCCTTGGCTGGTCATTTCTGTTCATTTGGGAAGTCGTGGCTTGGGGGGATTTCCTAGGTGCCATCCTTAAGCAGAGTTGTCGATGCCTCTATTTCTCCCTCTTTCCAAGGGTCTAGGAGTCAAATGCATGGAATAGACTAGTTTTCTGGAAAGTCATTCTCCCCCACCTCTTCCTGCCCATCTCTCCTACTGGTGAGAGCCTCAGGGTCCCATTTGGCAAGGCAGCAACTGAGAGATGGTGACAGCCTTCAATGATAATCAGACCTCGGCATGGAAGATGCTACAGGAAGGAAGGGTGGTGGATGGAGGAGAGGCAAAGGAAGGAAAAAAAAAACCCACCAGATGCTTTTAATGCAGCAGAGGGTTCATCCTGAATTAGTCTTCCAAGGAAACATGCCCAGGAAGAAAACAGTAAGGAGAGAGAACAGATTGGAAGGGAAGGCTAGAGCATACCTAGCCAAATTAGGAACTTTTTTGCCTGTTTGGCTGAGGCGGGGAGTTCAGGGGCATGCTCTTGGGGTCAGGGAGTCCTGTCTCGGCACTCTGCTGAGGCTCCTGAACAGCTGTTTTGAGCCAAGGGCCAGGACAAGGGAATTCTTGGAAAAGTATTCCCTGAGGCTCCTGTCAGTCTCCCACCTGTGAAGAAGGAGGGAACACAAAATGAGAAGTCACTCTGGCTGGCTGTAACCTCTGCCTCCTCCAAACCATATTGGACTCGATGGTCTCTGAGCTTCCATGCAATTCTAGACCTATGAACCCCTGATCCATCCTACATACCCCATAGGCTCCTCTACCCCAATGAACAATCAATGTTTGGGAACCCATAGCTACTCCTTATCTAACATGCCAATCCAACGACCCACCCCCACCTCCAGAATGATATTCAAGCTGGCTCAAGCTAATACATGCAACCCAACATGCATCCTACCATCCAGCCATAGGGAGAGCAGAGAGGGGCCTTACTCTGCTTGACACATACAATGCTTATAGGTGCATCTATGCCTTTGATTATCGAATGAGAGAAGGGAAGGCCTTGAAATGGCCTCTGCCTTCTTTCTATGCTTTCAAATCCTACCCATTCTCCAAGGCTCAGTTCAAGCTTCACTTTCTCTATGATTAGCAGCTCACATTTCTATAAGGCTTTACAGTTGACAAAGCACTTCCCCTATGACAATGGTGTGAAGCAGTCAGTGCAAGTATTATTATTCCCATTGTACAGACAAGGAAGCTAAGGTCCAGAAAGGTGAATCACTTGACCAAAGTCACCCAGCAGGCTGGTACTGGAGCCTGGGTGATCTGATCCCAAGTCTAATAACCTTTTGATCACACCTCAAACCAGACTTGGAACTCCCTAAAAGCAAAATCTGTGTCTTCCTCCTCTTCCTGCCTCTCTCAAGCACAAAGCCAGAGCTGGGCACACAGACACACTCAGCAAATATTTGTTGACCTGAGCTGAATCTCATTGATCTCAGCTGAG